CGCCGGCGCGGAGGCAACGGCCCGTCCCCACTCCCCAGAGCGGCCTGAGCCCCTGAGCCTCACGGCACCGGAGCCGAACGAGAACAAGCACCCTCATGAGGAAGCCAAGGATGAGAAGACCCAAGACCCCAGCGAGGAGCCACCTGGGAAGTCACCTGCCCCACAGTTGCTGTACCCCGACCAGCTGGTCACTGAAGCGTTGGAAGATGCTCTCAAGGAGGTGAGAGACGATGCTCAGCCCAAAGAAGAGCCCATGCTCAGGGCCGAGAGGGCTACAGAGGGCTACAGGGTAGGGAGCACGCCCGAGCTCCCCGGCCAGACGGCAGCCGATCACCCCATGGAGGAGGTCGATGGCACTGAGGATGCCAATTTTGAAGCCCTCCTAGAAGAGAGGGCTGGAGGAGACATGCACGAGGAACCAGACATGGAGCGCACCGCTCAGCAGGATGGAGCAACGTCCCACCTGGAGCTAGGACCGTCCAGCGAGCAGGAGGAAGAAAGCGCACCTGATTTTCTCGTTGCTGCACAGAGTGAGACAGAAACCCAGGAGGCGATGAGATCTTGGGAGGAGGAAGGGAGCAAAGAGGAAGAGATGCAGACGCTGCTGAGCCCAGAGGAAAGCGGGGAGCCGGAATTCGTGCGCGACGCCGCAGGCAGCCCGCTGGGCGAAGACATGCTCGCTTCATCTGAGCCCGATGCCGAGCGCTGGGAAGGCAGCACAGATCACCCCAGCCAGGCAGCTACTGCCGGGGGAAGCCTGGAGGAGCCAGAGCAAGGAGAAGACGACGTGGAGGCCGTGAGCACGGAGGCGTTGCACCTCTCAGAGGATGAGGAGAGACGGGGACTCTGGAGCCCTTCCAGGGAGGACGAAGAGCGCGATTTCTCAGAAGCAGCAAAGGAAGTGCGAGAAGAAGAGTCCCTACAGAAGGAAATCCAAGCCACGCATGCTTGCCCCATGGAAAGTCACCCCGTTTTGCCTGGGGAAGGCCACCTAGAAGAGGATCTTGTTGAGAGAGAGCAGGAAAGTTTGGGGCACCAGGAAATGCCTCTGTGCGAGACAGATCCTGCTGTAGAGGAAGAAAGGAGGGAGGAGATGTGCCCAGAACATGAGCTCTCAAGCACCAAAGAGAGCATCTCAGCAGAAGCTTCATCACGGGCTGAAGAAGACACCACGGGAGAGGAGATCGCAGACAGAGCAAGAGATGGCGAGGGAGAAATGGGAGAGCCAGGAGAGGAGGCTTTGGAAGGAGAGGACCTCAAGGCTGAAGGGAAGATGTTGGGGCCTGAAGACCTGAGGCAGGAGGAAGTCACCTTGGAGCAGTCTGGGGTCCTGCAGGAAAACGGCTTTGAAGATGACACGCTGGAGCAAGAAGAGCTGGAGACCCTGCCGAGGGAGGAAGTCCTGGGCAGCGGAGACGACGACAACTTCCGAAAGGACCATCCAGAGGACTGGGAAATGAAAGGGGAGGAGGACACAGAGGGATCTCCAGGGACAGAAGATGCCAACGTCACACCCCAAGAGCCAGCCTGGGTGGATGACATCCTCACAAGCACAGGGGTACCAGAAAGCGAGGAGACAGAGGGCATTTTGCCGGCTGAAATAGAAGCAGCAGGAAAAGACGACGAAGACGACACCGGGAGTAGCTTGAGGAGCCAGCAGGAGCCAACACCACAAAGCGAAACGGAGCAGGAGGCCGAGCCTGCCCTGGGACTGGTGAGGGAAGCCCAGGAGGGCCACCAGGACCAGCTTGCCCAGGCACCCGGGGACGCTCCGGGGCCAGGAGGCAGCGAGGAGCCGGCCGCAGCTCCGGAGGCGTCGTGGGAGGCACAGGCAAGGGCTGAGGACGCAGAGGACGAGCTCCCTTCAGAGCCTGAGGAGCCGGAGAAGGCCAGCACGGGCTCGGCGGCCTTTCACCAGGCTCCAGGTGACTACGCAGAAAGCGATGAGCGCCAGGAGGAGGATGCTCAGAGAACAGAAGAGCTGGGCCAGGAGCCGGGGACAAGCAAGAGCATCCAGCTGGAAGACACCCTGCCGGATAACACGCCTTTGCACCTCTACGAAGGGCAGATGCTGGCTGCGATCGCACGCAGCCCAACGCCTCGGGCTGGCGAAGACGCTGCAGAGCCAGCTCCGGCATCCGAAATTGCTCTGGAGGATGAAGGAGAGCTGGAGGGGAGCCACAGGCCAATAACTCCCTTAAAAGAAAGCCACGAAGAGGAGGAGGAGGCAGGGATGGAGTCAGCCCCTGCGGCAGAGTGTGCCGAGGAAGAGGAAGGTTATTTCATGGTTTCTGCTCCCAACCAAGAGGCACCCAGCTCAGAAGACGCCGAGATCTCAGAGGACTTCGAAGAAATCAAAGTCGAAGCAACTGAGGCCAACAAAGATGATCTAAAAGCTCCCAGAGAAACATCTCCAGCGCCAGAGGACGAAGGGCACTTCGAAGCACTTGCTGGCCAAGCAGACGAAGGCATAAAAACGCCCACAGAAGAACGCGAGATGCCAAAAGCTGGGGATTTCACTGCCGAGCTAGAGGAAGCCATGCCGGCGGCAGAGCTCGG